GAGTAGAAGTCCCAAATTGCTTCAGTCCTTGTCCATCCTTTTTTATTGAAATTTCACACCATTATTGCCTCGGTGGTGGTTTGAGGAGTGAGTTGCACTAATGTGCCCATATCAGTGTAACAATACAGGGCCATGCCCCTGGCGTAGCAGTGCTGCACAAAGTGAGGTTGTAAAGTTTCAAAGCACTCCTAGCAAGTTCCTCATCTCTAACACTCTCGGAATGGGGACAGTTGTCACCCACGTTAAGCACTGCATTTCAAGAGAACTAGCGCATTTCCCCCACCCCTCAGCTACTCTCACCGAGCACAAGACAAAGGGGATAAGAGAGATTTCCACTAGTTAATGCACGCGCGCGTGTGTGTGTGTGGGGAGGGGGGGAGTAGGGGAGGTGGACTGAGGCTTGTCTACACTAGAAAGTTAAGTCAATGTAACATCACTTGGGGCACTGTTCCCTCTAATATTTATGTCCGCGTGCAGAATGAATTTAATTATGTCCACCAGTATGGAGATGATGTGTGACACATCACTGCTATATGGGTGCATATAGCAAAATTCATTCTGCACATAGATGCTCTGTGGCAGGGGTGGGGCCGAGTGTCTGAAGGGGCTCAGGGTTGGGATGCAGGGTGAGCTGAGGACCCTGACTGGGAGTGCAGGCTCTAGGGTGCAGTCAGAGATGAGGGGTTTGGGATGGGAGAGGGCTCCGGGCTGAGACAGAGAGCTAGGGTGTGTGTAGAATCTGGAGGGGGGGGATTTCAAGTACACGTTCCCCTGAGAGTGAAGACTCCCCCCAACCCTCTGTCACTGCAGCAGCTGTGGCCCTGGAGAGAGGTGTCTCTCTGCTGGCTGTGTCAGCTGCATGCTAGGGCTGGGGTATGGGCGTCTTTCTGCTAGCCATGGCAACTCCATGTCGGGGCCAGCTGCAGACAGAGGCGGCACTTTGTGCTTGGGGTGAAAAAACTCTGTATGGCAGCCCTGTGCGCCTGCACTGGCCTTTGTAGGCAGCTGTGTGGCATAGAGAGAACTTAAGACAGAAGTGTGCAAAAAAATCCACCCTGAGAGGTGCAGTTAAACCAATTTAAATCTCTGTGTAGACAGAATTCTTCTGTTGACCTAGCTACTGCCTCTCAGGCTTTGTCTACACTTCAGGGTTTTTGCACAAGAAGCTTTTTGCGGAAGAGATCTTCCGCAAAAAGTTCTTGCGCAAGAGTGCGTCCACACTGCCGTGCGCTTTTGCGCTAGAGTGCGTCCACACTGCATAGATGCTCTTACGCAAGAAAGCTCTGATGGCCATTCGCAGAACGGCCGTCAGAGCACCTGCACTTTTCCGAATAGGCTCTTTTTGCGCAAGAAACCCCTATGGAGCAGCCACACCTGCTTTTTTGCACAAGAGCTGTAGTGCAAAAAGGAGTTACGCCTCGTGGGGAGAGGAATAACTACCGGCAAAAGCCCTCTGTCCTGTCGATTTACTGTATTTTTTGGTTTTTGCGCAAAAACACACTTGAGGTGTGGACACACTGCCGGTTTTTGTGCAAAAACAGCTGTTTTGGCACAAAAACCTTATATTGTAGACATAGCTTCAGAGAGGTGGATTACCTTCAGCAATGGGAGAATCCCTCCTGGTGGCATAAGCAGCACCTACAACACTGAAGTGCTGCAGCCAGGCTGCCGGGCTGCTGTAGCATTTTAAGTGTAGAAATGCACTGAGAGGAATCCACTCTTGCTGTAGCTGAACTAAGCAGGAGTGGGAAATGAAGAGTGAAGAGAGTAATTCAAGATGCTGATTCTGTTCCTGAATATAAGAAAATCAGATGCTCTCTGCAAAGGCTCCTTTGTATGAAAAGCATAAGAACGGACAATAGAAGTAGCAGTAGTTGTCTTGTATGGTTCTGTGTAAATCTCTGGTAGGACATTTCCACCTCCTTTCTCATGAACTATTTGAAATAAATGACAACAAACATGTCTGAGGGGAAAATAAACAGCATGGTTTGCATTGAATTAGACACCTCCCCCCCCAAAATATTTTCAGAAACATTGACAATGTTGATGCTATTTAAATATCTCATACGATGATTAAGAGTGACAGCAGTGAAGCAGCATCCCCCAAGTGGACGAAGGATTCAAAGATGCTTATTTCCTCCAGCAATGTGATTATTTATAAGGAAAATCAAAGAATATCTACATTCCTGCCTACCATAATAGTGCAGCGTTAGAGCTATTAACGCAGCCTGCAAAAATTTAAAACAAGCACTTTGCCCTCATCACCTGCTCAGGCTCAGCAGGGTCACATAAGCATGAGAGAAGAATTTGACTCACTGCCTCTATCTAATAAGATTTTATGCTATCAGCAGTTTCCACCTGCGCTGTTTCCATTGCTACCCCAAGTTTGGCTATTACTGCCTCTTACCAGAAATCAAATAATTTAAAAGCTCATTTGGAGCTCAAAACACTTAAGCACATGAGTAACTTTTCTCAAATGAACACTCCCAATCACAGACATGGGTCTATTCACATTAAAAAAAAAGGTATCTGCGTGTGTTCATGAGCATTTTAAAGCATACGTAATGAGGAGGTACACAAACAAAACTTTTAGGGTCCAGTTTTATGTTTCTAATTAGGTACTGAGCAGCCTCAGTTCCCACTTCTAGGGGAGTCGAACATACACTGACAACTATCTACTTGGAATCAGTCTGGCTCGCTTGGTTGGTACTAGAACGATAGGTATGGCTATAGGCTTTATGGAATGTTTGTGAGTTGCTGAAGGCATTAATCTCACTCATAACATCTGTATCCCACATTACAGGGTAATACCTGAATGTTTGCACTATAAGCCTCCATAGCTGTGCAAATCACCAGACAGGAGACAGACATTAATTACTGTCAAATGTTGGTCTCCTACAGGAATTATGTCCTGCCTGACAAGAAAGGCCCATTGATACCAGATGGACTAGATTGGAACATTTAAGAAGACAACAGACTTTGTTATTTACTCTCCCCTCTATGGAGATGAATCTTCCAAATGAATCCTTCCCATCAGCTGAGTCTGCAGCTCAAAGCACATGCAAAGAAGGGGATAAAAAAACCCTAACAAGGAGGAGCTGTGTCTTTATGATGCTTGGATGCTGGGGTGAAAAGATCACTACAGGTTGGACCTCTCTAGTCCAGCATTCTCTGGTCTGGCAACATCCATGGTCCAGTATGATTTTAGTTAGCCCCATGTCCACTAATCATGGGTGTGGCCAAGTTTCCCGTAGTCCCATAAAGTTTGTTTACAGTCACGAATCCTGGCTTTCACTGTTTTGTGCTGTTATTTAGCTCTAATCTACCCCTAAATGTCTTCTAAGAACCCTGTAAGCAGTGGAAGTGTCGGTACTATTGCTAGATAGTACTGAACTCCTGTGGTTTGGCAAATTCTCTGGTTCGGCACCAGTCAGGTCTTCAGAGTACCAGACTAGAGAGGTTCAACCTGTAGTTTTAAGCAAAAAAATCCACAGTACATAGCACGAGTTAGCCCTAAGGACATACAGCGCTTGTTTATTATATAAACTTTTATTACTTTTTTGAAATTTAAGATTGGAACTCTTATTTCCGTTTCCTATATAATCAGTCTTTTAAACAGTTTATTATAGGATTGTCCACAAGCGTTTTCTTGACCTGGGGCAGGGGTGGCCTGTGAGCCTAGGTAAACTAGGCAGTTGCCTAGGGCGCCGCTTTCCTGGGTGCCCGATGATGATGTCATGGCCATTGACGGCCGTGCAGATGGGGGCGCCGACCGCACCTCTACCTAGGGCGCCAGCTGCCGCAGCCGGCCTCGGGCCACTCCTGACCTGGGGTAAGAGATTAATTCTTTGTGACTGGGATTAACCTGAATACTGCTGTGCTACTTGGAGTGAGGAGCCATCTAGCACATGTACACAAGATTGGAGTACTCAAAGGGATGGTCTGTTACTCCATGTTATGACTGTTAGAGGGCCTGCGGTGTTTACACTGTAGAATTGGTTGGTGAAATCTAAGTACAGAATTTGGGGTCTTGTGCCCCACTTGCTAGCTGTCCACCTGGACGATGAAACCCATATTCCTGTGCCATTGCCGGATAGCTTTTCAGAGCATGCTTAGAACTTCACAGGATCCAATCCTTAACATCTAGTGTTGTAGCATTTTCCAAGGAGCGTCCTAGCCTTAAAACTCCCCTTGCACAATTAACTTTATTGTATTTGTACGATCCATGAGCAAGAAACTTATTTTCAAGAAACTTACTTTCAGACAATAAGGGCAATTGCTACTTCTTCATTTACAAGGACAAGTCTCAATATAAAATACCCTTATTGTAAGAAAAGTAAGTGATTTGTTTTTGATCCTGCAAAACATTACTCATGATAGTATTCCTTAGTTACCATATTGCCAAAGAACTCAGTGGGACTATAGACTAAAGGACTGGTTGTGTGACAAAGGGAGTACAGGTCCGAGCGTAATTTTGACTATTCGTTCCTATGAATTGAGACCAAGAAAAACTCATTTCACAGCTACCAAGAACCTTTATAACTTTGCAAATTAATTACACTGCACTTGAAAATGAGCATTAAAGGAATGACTACATTCTGGAGCCTCCATAAATAGTTTTGTTGTTTGGACTTCTACCTAATATGGTGAAAAAATAACAGATGATTGTCAGGCATGACTAGTATGACAAGATTTACAGTGCCTGCCTCATATTACCTTTCACATTGGCAACAAATAGTCCTTGCTGATCTGCAGTTAATCTTACACTCCTGGCTGAGAAACTAACCAACACTAATAATAGACTCTGTCAATTGCTATCAGGGAGTTCACATTGAAAGACACCGAGAGGCAGAAATCAATTTTAAAGAACATATAACACAACTCTTTCATTGAGAAATCTGTTACCTGTCTTTTGGTTTGTTAAACAACTAGTGTTTCCCAAGAACTATCAAGGATGGGGCAAAATTTCAAAGGTAAAATAAATTAAAGTGCACACATACCTGGTAAATTACAACCCGAAATTTGTTTTTTCTCAGCATTTCCTCTTGTTTTGCTTCAACCTTTTGCACATTAGCACTCTGCTTTTCCACCCGGGCCCTCACTTCCTTAACGTGGGAACTAACTTTGCAGGTTTTCTCAAGCAACTTGTTAACAGTGTAGCCTGTATTGCTGTGAGTCTGAGCAAGCTTTAAAATATCAATCTGCATAGTCTTGATAGCATTCTCCATTTCTCGGTGTCGCTCTTCTATTCTTTTCTGGCTCTCCTGTACACTATGTACAATGTTGGCCACTTTATCTAGGACTGTCACAATTGTATATGCAGCATCTTGCTCTTCATCTTCTGTGACATCTGAGAGCCGATTTTGGTGAATTTTGTCAGCCTCCGAGGTCACTTCATGGTGATCCATTGTGAGTGTGTTCAGTCAGCGTTACAGGAACTGAAGTATAAATGCTTCACACGATGACTGTTCAAATCATAGGGGAACAATTCTGGAACCCTTGCGAGAAGCTCGACAGCTGGCCTCAGAGATGTTCAGAGTGGGGTGTGAAACTCCACCCCTGGAGGTTGGTCAAATATTTATAACTACAGACAATCCCTCTATGATTATTTGGATACTTTTTGCAACATGACACCTCTAAAATTAGGAAAGCAATGTCTGGAATGGAACATACATGTAAAGGGTCACACTTCTGTAGCAATGAAGTTATTAGTGTTAATCTGGGAAAGTTAAGCAACTTACTAATTAAGCAGGCAAGCCAAGTGGCATATTTATTTAAGATCTACTGTTGCTCTCATTTTAATGAAGTGATTTCCTTTGGGGGGGAATTCAGGCAGTTTTCAAAAGTAAGTATATTTAAACCAAAAGGAGCAGTCTTCAAATCATGGCAACAACATCAAGTAACAAATAAACACACTAAACCAGATGCAATATAGTGAAAACATTGTATTGTGACATGCTTTTTCAGTTAAAATGTTGAAAGCATTTTTTATTGAACAAATTATTAAATCCCACATGCAGAATTCTGAAAGCCTAAACTACATGTTAAACAGCCGAACACATCCTACTCACATTTTATCTCTGGATCTTTTAAACAACAACTAACAGTCTATTAATATAACTATAACCAGCAGACTAATTTGGATGGACTTTATTTAGCTCTTGAAAATATTCTATACAAGAGCACTAATCATCAATTAACTTAATTTTTTTTAAATCACAAACACTATACAATCTGTCTTGTTGGTGTTAAAACATCTATTGTCTTAAAAAAAGTTTAGTAAGTATTAAAGCAGTTTTAACAGCGATAAAGTAGGCTTTATTCCAATCATGTGAGTTTGATTATTTAAACACAGATTTTACAATACCAAAATCTACTAAGACCTACTTCTTTTGGAACAATGCCATTTGCTTTTCTGGGTAATTTCCCAGATTATGAAATTATATTTTTACTTTTTAAAAATAAAGTGTCAGAATTATTTATGAAGACGGTAGTGCTTAGACCCAGCCAATACGTTTTATAAATATGTTACAACTACACACATACACAGCTTCACACTTCATGCGATAGGCAGTATCTAAAAAATCAGTTACTAACTTTCAAAAACATTTAAATATCTACGGTATTTAAACACAGTGTCTCCTAGTTTTTCGTAAGAAAAGTAAGCTGTAAACATCTTTACCTTTAGTTCATGCCTTGTTTGCTAGGTAATGTGGGGTTTTTGTTGTTGTTGTTGTTGTTTATCTACAACCATTGGTGAAATAAGTCTGTGTTCTCAAAAATATTACATTCCATGAATAAAGCACAAATCTACTATATAACCATGTGATACAGATGCAGAAAATGAACTACTGTATTCAAAAACATGAAAGGAAAATTACTAAGCCAGTCCTTAGCTGTTAGAGCTGATGCTTTCAGAATACAACAGACCAACAGTGCTACACTAAAAATGTCCAAAAATAAGGCCTCTGAAATAAATAGTTCCATTCTTTAAAAAAAGATATAATAAAAATGTACATCACATGGTCAATGTAGGTATAAAAGTCATCACATTAAACCATCCTGGATGATGTATCTGAAGTAAAATGGCCTAGGTTTTGCTTCTGTCGACGTCCTCTGTTGTTTTTAGGGCATTTTCTGTATTTTTTTTAAAAAAAAGAAAATGTATTTTAATCTCATTCTGCATATTTCAAACAGCATTCATGATTTTACTTTCTTCTTTTAACCAAAAATCTCAATCTCGATCAGCATCACTTTCATGTGAATTTGAAGTTTGATCCTGCAAGGGCTGAAAGCATGCTGGCCCTGATCACACAAAAAATGTAAGCATGTGATTAACCCCACTGATTTAATTGGAACGCCTCACAAGCGCAGAGGTGAGTACTTGCTTAAGAGCTTTGTTATATCCGGGGCAAAGTGCTTAGTGCCTTACGGGATCAGGTGCCCTGATAAGAAGATTTGGACCTCCCTACAGTTATCTGTGCCTTTGTCAACTCATGTACACAGAACTAGCTCTTAAGATATCTCAGAAACTTACCTCAGTGCAAAATTCAGCTGCTCCCTTTATAAGGGGCTTGTCACACAGACAGCAGGTTGCACTGGTGCTTTGCAGACAGCACTCGCTGCATATTAATTTCTAGGCGGAGTTTAAGGTGTTGGTTTGACGAATGAAGTCCTAAATGGTTAAGCAGCCAGGTACCTGAGGAATGCACCTCTCTCCATATAACAGCACCGCTCTTATGACCAGTGGAGGGGCCTGAACCATCTCATCGTCTGGTGTGGGGAAGGGGCCATGGTGTTTGTCAGGAGATATCTTCAACTCTGGAAGTGGTTCCCACTTTGGTCTGACCCAGGGGTTCTCAAACTTCATTGCACCATGGCACCCTTCTGACAACAAAAATTACACCACCTCCTCAGGAGAGGGGCACTAAAGACTGAACCTGCCCAAGACCCTTTGCTCTGAGTGGGAGAGGCCAAGGCCAAAGCCAAAGCCCACCCCCCCACACACACCATCCGGGGGGGGGGGGGGGGGGGGGAGAGGGCAAAGGCCAAGGGCTCCAGCTTCTGTCCTGCATGGTAGGCCTTATGCTACAGTCCTGGGCTCCAGCCAATCTAAAGTCAGCTCTGGTGACCCCATTAACATTGGGGTGACAACTCACTTTGGGATCCTGACCCACAGTTTGAGAACCATTGGTCTAATCAGCTTGGGCTCTTCTGCAAATTTTATGTTTTCTCCTCAGCTTTTGGCACAGGGATTGGTGAAGGCGAACAGAGCAGCTAGCACTGATTTGTGGATTAAGGGCTAGTTTATTATCCTGATTATTTATTTTTTGTTAAGCACAGAAGCACTGTGTAACCCAGAGGTGGTCAAGATCTGGCCCGCAGGCCGGATCCAGCCCACCAAGCTGTTTCATCCAACCCACAGCTCATCCTGCCTTCCAGGGATGGGGGTGAGGAATCAGGGCCTGGGGACGGGGAAGCGTGTGAAGTCTCCTCCCCCTGCCAGGGGCACGTGGCACCAGAGGGAACCATCAGCTGTTCAAAACGGCTGGAGGTTCCCTCTAGGCACTACACATCACTGGCAGGGCAGGAGGGAGAGACCTCCCATGCTCCCCGTCTGCTCTTCCTCCTCCCACCCCTCCCACCCCCAGTGCCTAGAGGGAACTGCCCCTTTTGGCTGAGGTCCCGCCCCTTCCTCCTAAGGCCTTGCCCCTTCCAGGACTGGGTCCTGACCACTATCAACATTTGTGAAGTGACCCCCCACACACAAAAATTATTGCTCACCCCTGGTGTAATCAGTCTGGACACATTAATCATTCTATATTTGATCATTGTATTTTTTTAGAACTTGTGTTAAACATATGGATGGTCAAGTTCCTAACTACATTTATAATAAATCACACATACAGAAAAATCAGGGGTGTTACACTGTTTTTGTAACTACCTACCTTGTTATGCACATGACAATTGCAACTATAATGGCAATCTGTACAGCTCCAATTATTGCTGCAATAAGGACATGTGTAAGCTTTTGTCTGCTTGGGACAACATAAAGAATACTAAAGTCTGTCTTTTCACAGTGCTGTCCAGTATATCCTGATTCACATCTGAAAGAGACAAAGATTATGTCATGAAATATGAGTCTTATCAATAGGCAAATCATTCTGCAGATAAAAGAGTAATCTGAGGGACAGGGTAGGAAGTAAATGAAAACCTGGGACATAATGTAAAGGAGGAAGGATGGTACAGAGAAGGGATAGGCAACAAGATCATAGTGATTTGCCAGGGGTAGCCCCAAGATGGCCACTGCTGCTATATGTACTTGCGCCTTTGCAGGTACGGGTACTTGCAGCTCCCGGTCACTGCAGTTTGTCACTCCTGGCCAATGGGAGCAGAGGGAAATGGTAAGGACTGGGACACTGCTTTCCGCAGCAGATCCAGCCCATGGGCTGGAATTTGCCCACCACTGTTATAGAGAGAGCAGGAGAGAAACCCACTTGTCACTGCTACTTCAGTTACCTCAGATGAGATTTGAAGGCAAGAACAGCACAAAGGATTTCCTGTGAGATTCCTCCAGTTCTGAAAATGAATGAAGCGAGCAGGCATGTGCCTGTCACACAGGGCATGGGAAGGGTATGTGGAGCCCAAGGCTTTAGGCAGCATGGTTTTTCCTTTTGTGGCGAGAGAGAGGCACAGAATGGATGTCCTCCACTTTCACAGAGGACAATTAATTTTGCTTAGGAAATCTCCCTAGGCTCTGTGGGGCTAGTTCAGCAAAGGGAGGATGTATATACTTCAAGAATGTGATTTCAGTGGGATGGCTCATGTGCTTAAAGTTAAGCACGTGCTCAAGTCTCTGTGGATGCAATTACATAGCAGGGCTTAACTCAAAATAAGCTATGCAAACTGAGCTATCCAAACTGAGCTTATTTCGAAATTGGGAGCGTCTACCAGCAGTTATTTCAAAATAGAGCACTCTTCCTCTGACTTCCCTTACTCCTGAGGGTGAGGGTTACAGGAGTTGGAGTAAGAAGTTCTCCAGCTTGACAGTATTTGAACACTATTTCAAAAATAACTGCCTGCTGTGTAGATGTGGACTAAGTTATTTTGAAACAATGTTGCTGTGTAGATGTACCCTTATTGAACTGGGGCTTGAGTTAGGAACAATAAACGGAGTTGATAAAACAAATGGGTGGAGGATCACCAGAAAACTCTGTCAGGGACTAGGGTGTATGGAACTGAACAGGACAATAGGGCACAAATCAACAGATAATGATGAGGAACAGTGGAGAAAAACAGATGTAATATGACTGTTAGAACTGAGCAAATCATGTAGAGTTTGGTTTGTGTCACTTACAGGAACAGAATCATGGGTGACACAAAGGGGCGGAGGCGAAGGCGGGAAGGGCACATATGTGGCCTTTATATAAGGACTGGCACCAAACAACACTACCCACCAGCTCTTAGTCTGGACTCACCAAATGCCCAGTAGACCAGAAATCCAGCCTGTAGATGGTAGACAAAGGCCAGGCTAGTTCTCCAGAAGACTGCACAGAAAGGTCAGGAAGGGCCAGAACCACCCTGGCTCACAAGTCAGATGATTCTAGGACCTTTCCAAGCACACCCCAAGAGCCATGCAGGAGACTAGGGCAGTAACAGGCAATAGGCAGTGTCCAGGCAGGACAGAGTGCCCCATCAGAATCTCACAGAAGCAGGACAGACTTGGCCTACCTGAGCAATGCCCATGTGGGAGTCCCTGGAAATTTGGGAGGGGACTGAAAAAGTTGGTAGGTGGCAGCGCAGGAGCACTTGTCTCTACACAGCATCCTTCCCAAGCAAACCAGCTGATTTCTCAAAGTCAAATTCAGTGGCTGTTTGTGCTGATCAGAGCAACACAAATTTTCCATCCACGTGGGGCACAGCCCTAGAGAAGAAGCCAATGAGAGCACACTCCTGAATGAGCCATGCTGCCAAGGGGAGGGAGGCTGCAGAACACAGAGAGGAAAGCACCGTGCGGGATGCCCAAATTAATGGACCTCGTGTCCCCTGTGAGTTCTGCAGTTAACAGGTCCAGGAGGCCCTGCTCCATGCCTCTCTATGCAGGCAGAGCTAAATCAGTAGGGGGATGGAATGCTACAAACAGAGAAAGGAATCTCAGTTTTCACATTTCAACATGAACGTGTTGCTCATTTTCCTGGTGAAGTTAGCCTTGAAAATGAACTGATGTAAACATCTCAGTAATACTGAATTCAACAAGCAATTGGCCTCTACTTCTGCAGCAACAGGCTGGGAAGGAATTAAAGATACATGCACACACACACACACAAACACCCACACCCTAACGCCCCTTATTTAAACAGAGTTAGTTACAGTAGGGCATTTCACACAGAGAATCATTCCAAGTCACTCCCAAATCCATCTCTGTGCTCAGTGAAGTGACTGTGGAGGATAGGAATTAGTTACATATGGGGAAGCAAAAAACTGTTCAAGGGGCAGAGAAAATGCGCTGGATTTTCAGTGCTATGAAACCAATGTGTTCTTGTGAATACATTTTCTTTATCTATGGGTTTTCTCTGGGAGACATGTGGGTTCACAGATTGGATATGTACCAATAAAAGCAGAGTCATTAAGAAAAAGGATCTACATTATTTCAGATATCATTAACAATGGATGGGAAAGAAACCAAGATAAATATATGTACATTTACAAGAAGGAAGCAAATGACACATGAACCTGTTTGTGCATTATCTAGTAGGAAGAAAGGAAAAGAACAGATAACGGATAGAAAGCTAAGTCCTTATTTGCTACTTTGCTTTTGACTTCTTTAAAGAAGATAGAAGCCATAGTAGGCTTAATGCAAGAATCGGTCTGGGAAGCTGAAGAAATAAAGTGGAATCAAGAAAGTAGAGGATAAAAAATATCCAGATAATCTGAAAATATTCAGATCAAAAATTCGAAGTACAATGAATGTCACTCTAGAATGCTAAAGACATTCTCAACACTACGGAGACAGTTGAAAATGGTTTTTGAGAACTCCTGCAGAGGCAGTGAGATTGTGGAGGACTGGAATAAGGCAAAGAAAGTATGGATTTCAGGAATGCAATTGGTGGGCGAGGGGATGAGGTATTATAGACCAAACCTCTAATCACCTGGTAAACTAGGAAAGCAGTCCATTTTATAAGCACTTGCTGGAAAATGAGATGATAAATAGCTGGTAACATGGGTTTATCAAAATAAAATTATGCCAAATTAAATTAATTTATTTCTGTATTAAAACAACAAGCAAAGGCTCAGCTGTGTATTGCTGGCACAGCCCTTCCCTAGGAGGTGGCACAAAACTGCACTGTCCCAGGGGGAGCATAAGTAGGCAGAGCTCCCAGCTGTGCAGAAGCAGCATGAGTACTGCTAAATCACTTGATAGGGTGCAACTGAATATCCCTCACATGATCAGACAGCTCCACTGGCTGGTGAGAAGCGTGTGAAATCATAGTCCTCTCTCCTTCCGTGCCTCTGCAGGGATTCTAGGCATCGACAGGCACTGGGGACTGCAACCATGCCTCACTGCTGTGTAGACTGCACAACACGCCAGGAGACCATTTGCCACCACTGTACATCCACTTGTGTAAGGTGGAAATGAAGACTCTCTGTCATTTATTTTTCTCTGTAACTCCTTGATATTTCAGAATTCACCATCCAACTGTCAGGACTAACTTGTGAAAATGTACACATTTCAGTAGCAGACATAACTCCTCCACTGTGCATAGGCTAAGAGTTGCACATACACATAAGTAGCACCCACAAAATTCATAGTTCATTTTGATCAATTTCATGGTCATAGGATTTTAAAAATAAATTTTATATTTCAGATATTTAAATCTGAACTTTCATGGTGTTGTTAAGTGTAGGGATCCTGACTCAACCAGGAGTTGTGGAGAAGAGGTTTCTGTAGGGGGGTTCTGAAAGATCAGTGTTCCCTGTAAGCTGAGTGCTTGGGCAGCCACCCAGGAGAGATTCAAATGCCATCCAGCTGATTAGCAGAATGCCCACAGCACTCATAGCCAGCATCCTGTGTTTCTACTGGTGGTGCACATCCACACATGCCTCAACATACATAACAAAATTGATTCCATGCATGGATGGGAAAAATGAGAGGAAACATTGGTTGCACTACTGCGACTCTTACTTCTGCACTGTTGCTAGTGGCAGCATTTCCTTCAGAGCTCAGAAAGCTGGAGAGTGACAGCTCCTGGCCAGGCACCCAATTCTGAAGGCAGAGCCACCTCTAGCAGCAGTGCAGAAGTAAGTATGGCATGGTATGGACTTGCCACCCTTACTTCTGCACTGCTGCCTGCCAGAGCAGCCCCTGTCCAGGGTGAGCCCCATGGAGCTGGAGCAGCCCCCCTGCCTGCGGGAGGCAGGTAGCTGTTACAGCCCCCACCGGTTAACTGGAACAGGCAAGCATTGCCCATTAAAGGTGATGCTTACCAGTTAACCAGTTAAACTTTCATATTCCTAAGCCACATTTTGTAGAGTTGCCAGATGGTTTCAACAAAAATACCGGACACACTTGACATTACATCACAATCTACATTACATCTTATTTAGAAAATACCGGATATTTGTATTTTCGCATTTGTGTTTTCTCAATTTGTTTCCTGAACAGAAAGCTCAAATACTGGACTGTCCGGTTCAAAACCAGACACCTGGCAACTCTACACATTTGCATCAGGACCTCCAGTTTGAGAAACACTGGTCTCGCGCGTGAAAGCTGTGTAATATAGGATAAAAGACCAGATTTCGCAATGACACCAGATTTCATGGTCCATTATGTGTTTTTCATACTCATGAACTTGGTAAGGCTCCATGCATCGCTGAGTAAAAGAGAGCTTGTATGCATCAGAATTTGCACACAGGCAAGTCAGGCGTGCACAAAGGTAAAAAGTCCTTTTGAAAATCTGTCCCTTGACATTTGCCCACCATGTTTCTCTTTATGCAGAAGAAAGGACAAATGCTTAACCAGTATTACTAGTATGTGATTAGTGGGACTCTGTGCTGGTCTTTTAATGGTGATCACTCTGGTTCCAATGAAAATAGGAAATGAATATTACATGCAAATATGAGAAAAGGAATAACCAAGAGGCTAAAATAAAATTCAGTGGAGAGTACTGAAAAGTTAGGGTAGGTGAATTGTTCTTCAGTAGCATCCAAATGGAGGTAGCTCTCATGGGTCCAGTACTTAATACTGTTTAGTCTTTTATTTATGTCTGGGAGGATGGAATTAAGAACATACTAATCCAGGCTCCAATCCAGCACAATATTCTATACAATTCCGGCTTCTTCGTTATCAGAAGCATTAGACGGAGGCATAATAAATGTGCCAAACATCAGCATATTGTGAAAGCGCTCCTACAAACGGCAGCTTGATTCCTGCTAAAGCAAGAGAGAGTCTCACACACTTGCTTAAGAGGATGAAAATACAATGAAAAGGTTATTGTGTCCCAGTAATGGGGGAAAAGGTCAGAAGAAAGGGAAAATAATGATTTGTAAAAGGCTATGTTCCCAGCCATGCTGGCTATGAGGGGGCCCTCCCTTCTCTCCTGGTTACTATAGCACTTTCAAGGATCAAAGTAGGAAATATATTGAATTCTAGCAGTTCTAAAAGTGATATTATGGAAGAAAAGTAAAGCAAAGAACTACAGAAAACAATAGATCCATCAGTCACTAGTCTGAAAAAACCAACCAACAGGGCCCAAATACTCAGGATAAAAATTCTTCAATGCTCTTTGCTCATGACAACTATGCCACCACCCTCCACAAAAGAATAGTGGCCATTTTTCTTCAAATACACTCCTCGATGAGTTCCTACTTTAGAAGAAATAGAACTGACTTTACTTGAAAACAAAAGAAAGTGGAAAATTCACAGATTTTTGGAAATGCATAATTTCAATTTTCAGTAGTATTCTAAGTTGCCATACTTTACTGAACAGACAATGAATATGGTTTTTTTTTTTAGAAAATAATATTTACTCTGGCAGAAAACAAAAAATAAATGGTTAAAAGTAAAACACTGACAAACTACAAGGAGTTTTGACAAGAGCAACAGATAATAACCCAAAGGAAATGGAAGCTTCCGGTTAATTTGGGACATGATCCCACTGAGGTGTTCCCCTCCGAGTGACTATCTAGTGCATAGTCTAGATGTGAGTCTCGCCCACATACGGTCTCCAGAGAAGTGTCTACCCTTTCCCTAGAAGAAGTCAGGCTTTGGAACTGGTACATCACAATCCACATCACTGTCCCAGCCACAGATTTTTTCAGGTACCCTAAACTCCCTAGCAGATAGACAGCCTGAGCAGCCAGTTTCTATAGGGAGGAAAGGTCTTATGCCAGTGTCACTCTGTGTGAGTGTTAACATTGACTTTTCTTTGTTTATGCAGACACTGAGTGCTGATAGGAGATGCAGCAGGAACATAGTTGCTCACCTGACATATTTGCTGAACTAATATACTCGAACCAATCATAGAGATATGGGGAAACTGTGTAACCCTGATATCTAATTTGGCCTCTGTGAATACTCTGGATGCTGCTGCTACTCCAAGGGGAAGGGCTCTGAACCAGAAATGTTCCTGGAAACCAAACAAATTTTCTCTTGGATGAATGTCCACGTTTAAAGCAATGAACCGCATCCCTTCCTGTAGAGAGAGGGCTATTGATGCTAGTGTAACCATCCTGATTCTTTACTTTTGATTAATGATGTTGTTTAAAGTCCAGAATGGGTCTTCACCCTCCATATTTTGGGGGGGAGCCTAAGAAATAAGGAGTATCAAACCCTCTCCCTTCATACCGAGTCAGCATTTGTTCTATTTGCTCTTGTAGGAGGAGGGAGTCTATCTCCTGTAGAAGAATCATCACCTCATGAGAGTGGTTCCTGAAAGGAGACCAGCATGCGAGGCAGTGAGGAGGGAAACCCTGTAGATAACACTTGATGGATAATTTCTAAAACCCACCTGTCTGTTGTGATAAGAGTTCCAATTGTGGTTGAAAAGCAAGAGGCATCCCCCAAAGGTAAGGGGGGTAGAGAAGTGTGTGGTAGTAGAGGGGGCTAAAAAATGAGGCTTCTGAGCTCTCTGTTGTTTACATGGGGCCTGGCTAGACATTGATGTCATAAAGTCTGTTGTGGGGGCAGCCTTGTCTTAATAGACCTGCTTCAAGTGTTTCTTTCTTGGGGCCGGCGTGCAAATTCCTAGGGAGTATAGGGTTGACCTTGAGTCTCTCAACAAGTGTAGAGACTCATTTGATTTCTTGTTGACATTCAGCCTGTGAAAAGGCAGGTCCTACACGGTGTTCTGAATCTTCCTGAAGAGCCCTGAGGAGTGAACCTAAGACTCATCACTACACCCAGGGCCAAGCCTCTGGATCCAGTGTTCACTGTGTCCACTGCCACTTGAAGGAAATATTTTGCTACTAACATGCCTTCTTCCATGCAGGTCTGAAATTGGGTCCATTCTCGGGGAGAAACATGTCCTTAAAGTTGGCCAGCCTGGAGTAATTGTTAAAATCATGTTCTGCTAACAAGGCCCAATAGTTTTCAGTACAGAACTGTAGGCTCGCAGAAGAAAAGGCCTTTGCCCCCCCCCAAAAGTCCAGCCTCTTTGAGGAGATACTGTAGTCTTGCTCACTGCATGGGGTTCTGTCCTGACAGCCACCAAAGTGCCCCTGACCCTCAATTCCTCTCACTCCAATTTATGATAATATAATATCTTTGTGGCAAATGACAGCAACTGCTTACACAAAAAAAGTAACAAAAGGAAAGAATTGTATTTGTAGGTGTTTTTAGTGGGATCATATGACCAGCCAGTTTCCTTCAATTCACCAACACTGTAGACGGCTGGCAGTTCAGGGGCCATTGTTTGAGAATCATTAGGTTAGACCAGGTCTACACTAAAAAGGAACAATTGAATCAAGACATGCAACTTCAGCTACATTAACATAGCTGGAGTCGACATTCCTTGATTCGAGTTTCTCTGCCATCCCACAGCGGAAGGTCAATGGGAGCGAATGCTCTCGTCGGCTTCCCTTACTCCTCACAGAAGCAGGCGTACCGGCTACTGACAGAGAGGCCCTCTGAGTTCAATTTAGTAAGTCATAACTAGACTCACTAAATCGAACTCCAGAATATCCATCGTGGCAGCGTCAAACTTCTATTTAGAGAAGACATAGCTTAAGGATGATATCAGGAGAAGCATGGGCATGTTTGTCTCAAACGAGGGTAATGGGATGGAATAAAGAAAGGGAAAATTTGGTCAGAGACTTTTCCATCGGGCCGGCGTGCAAATTCCTAGGGAGTATAGGGTTGACCTTGAGTCTCTCAACAAGTGTAGAGACTCATTTGATTTCTTGTTGACATTCAGCCTGTGAAAAGGCAGGTCCTACACGGTGTTCTGAATCTTCCTGAAGAGCCCTGAGGAGTGAACCTAAGACTCATCACTACACCCAGGGCCAAGCCTCTGGATCCAGTGTTCACTGTGTCCACTGCCACTTGAAGGAAATATTTTGCTACTAACATGCCTTCTTCCATGCAGGTCTGAAATTGGGTCCATTCTCGGGGAGAAACATGTCCTTAAAGTTGGCCAGCCTGGAGTAATTGTTAAAATCATGTTCTGCTAACAAGGCCCAATAGTTTTCAGTACAGAACTGTAGGCTCGCAGAAGAAAAGGCCTTTGCCCCCCCCCAAAAGTCCAGCCTCTTTGAGGAGATACTGTAGTCTTGCTCACTGCATAGGGTTCTGTCCTGACAGCCACCAAAGTGCCCCTGACCCTCAATTCCTCTCACTCCAATTTATGATAATATAATATCTTTGTGGCAAATGACAGCAACTGCTTACACAAAAAAAGTAACAAAAGGAAAGAATTGTATTTGTAGGTGTTTTTAATGGGATCATATGACCAGCCAGTTTCCTTCAATTCACCAACACTGTAGACGGCTGGCAGTTCAGGGGCCATTGTTTGAGAATCATTAGGTTAGACCAGGTCTACACTAAAAAGGAACAATTGAATCAAGACATGCAACTTCAGCTACATTAACATAGCTGGAGTCGACATTCCTTGATTCGAGTTTCTCTGCCATCCCACAGCGGAAGGTCAATGGGAGCGAATGCTCTCATCGGCTTCCCTTACTCCTCACAGAAGCAGGCGTACCGGCTACTGACAGAGAGGCCCTCTGAGTTCAATTTAGTAAGTCATAACTAGACTCACTAAATCGAACTCCAGAATATCCATCGTGGCAGCGTCAAACTTCTATTTAGAGAAGACATAGCTTAAGGATGATATCAGGAGAAGCATGGGCATGTTTGTCTCAAACGAGGGTAATGGGATGGAATAAAGAAAGGGAAAATTTGGTCAGAGACTTTTCCATCCCAAATCCCAAATATCCACTTATCTACAGCTGCCCCGACACTTAACTATCCCTGGCTTCCGCCTTAGGCGCCACCACCCAGTGAACTACCTCCCTAGACATTCTGCAGTATTCTCCCCTCTATCAAATGCCTAGACACAGGACCCTGGTTTTATGAAGCTGCTTATTCATTCTGACTTACCGGCAGGAAGCCTTCTGAGTGGAATAAATGAATTCGCATTTTCCATGTATACAGTAACCATTGAAGCTTTCTGAACAAGGTATGTGATTTCCAATATAAATGTCTTCTCTTTGATCACTGGCATCTTGAAAACATACACAAATAGATTTAGTAAATATACAAAAAAAACACAAATATAGCATCCTTCCAAAATCTTCTGTGGTGACAGGACTAAGAATTAAGAAAGCACGGGCTTAGAGCTTAAGTTTCACAGAAGCCTGGGTACCATGCTGTAACTAAGTATTTTTGCACCCGGGACAAAATATTAACTACGTGCCATCTCTCCTTCAAATTAAAAAATATCTCAAGTTTACAAATTTTTATTTATCTTTACTTCAAGAAAAATCAACAAAATTAATTAGTATAGTAATATAATAAACATATATTTAAAAACATATTTTACATAAATAATTAAAAAGAAGTCAATAAATAAAATGTGATTCTTAACAAACAATAATATAAATAAAGGAACATATATATAAATGACAAAATAATTCTAATACTTATTCTAAAGTTACTTTACGTGCCTTTAGCATGGCAAACTCATCAGTTATATCACTGGAATCTCTTATTTGGGATAGTTCATGCTCAATGGAGAGAACTGACAGTCCTGATAACCTGAGAGACTTTAAAAGCCTTTCAGCACGCCTGTTTCATTTCGTGTCAGGCCTTGAGACAGGCTCGTGCAACCTGGGACTTAGGTTAGCACGCATCACACTCTTGCAGCTTTTTTTTTTTACTTTTTGTGTCTTTGCACCCCTGATTATAGAATCATAGAATACTAGGACCGGAAGAGACCTCATAAGGTCATCGAGTCCAGTCTCCTGCCCTCATGGCAGGTCCCTGTACTGTCTGTAGACCATCCCTGATAGACATTTATCTAACCTACTGTTAAATATCTCCAGTGATGGAAATTCCACAACCTCCCCAGGCAATTTATTCCAGTGTTTAACCTAAGATGCACCTGGGGCGAGTGCCCCACTTGTCCCGCCCTTGTTATAGCACTGCTTATGTAATTTAGCAGCACACTCAACACCAAGGCTGATAGGAACTTAAATTTCTTACAGGTATTGTCCTATCATAACCCAGGTCCCTGCCATCTCTTTAAATAGCACCCTGCTGGCTTTTGCCACAGCTCAGCCAGCTCTTGTTGAAGCTACGCGCCTGCTTACTTTCACCTCTGTCCAAGACTGAAAAATTACCCCCTTAATGATTACTAAATCTGCTGTTATTGTGGGCTCCTTAAGTTGGAGAACCTTCTGGACAAAGAATCAACATGTTGTAAAGGAGGGGCTGAAGTTCTGTCCTGGGGTCTAGGAAAACAGCTGGTAGCCAGCCAGGCAGAGCACTTAGTTTGGGGAAAGCTGTGTCATCCATCCTTTCCTTCTGGCAGCTCAGAAAGACAGCTAAAGAGTTTTTAAAAATGTGTAACAGCAGCTGTGGGAGTAAGAGGCAAAATAAAGCTTGATAAAGCCCTAATGTGACTTGCTCAGTCACTGCTGTTGAAGGAACCACGATAGGTGTCCTAGAGCAGCGTTTTTCAAATTTGAATTGTGGGACCACCTGGGTAAGTGGCAAGCGGGCCTGTGACACTTTGTTCACTTAACATGTCTGTAGCCATGGGCTCTGCAGTTCCCCTTGGCTGGAAATGGCAACCCATAGCCAACGGGAGCTGCAAGGCTCAGTGGTTACAGACACACTGAATAAACAAAGTGGCGCAGGCCCATCAGTGGCTGGCTTATCCTAGTGGCCCTGCAACCCAAGTTTGAAAAATGCTGTCCTAGAGAAAGATGATGATAGTGAGGAAATGTTCCAAATATTGAAGGAACCTCAAAATACTCCTTTGTGTTTCCACAATATTTCCACGAATTTGTTATTATTAAAACCATACACTATACGCAGATCATTGTCTCTCCCTCTTTGTCCCTGTGCAGTGAAGTGGGTCTGAGCAGAGAAGTTTGTCTCTGGCTCTCATTGTCTCTAAAGTTCAGGGATCTTAGGAAATGAGGTTTTGTTTCAGGCTCATTTCTGGACATAAAGCTGAATCTGTGGCATCATGGTCATTTCCATGGTAACAGATTACAATGTCACAAACAATTATAACTTAGTTGCAGTGAAGCAAATGAGAAACTGGACTCCGAGGGAGACAGCTCTCATAGAAGCACAGATATCTGAAATAATAGTAAAAGGAAGAAAGAAAGTGACTGGACAAGGCAACTGGTGTTCGTATAACTGTTTTCCTTTTTTAGTGTGCTCCAGGATAAACATACACCTGAAATCAGAGATGGAGAGAACAGGAAGCTTGCTGACTATATCATGCCTCAAAAAATGAATAGAAAGCTTATTTGCACATTTAGAAAGAGAAAAAAGTTTAATATTAATATAAGAAACATACAGGGACCTGAAAATCAAAGGAAATGTATAATAAGCATTCTCTTCTTTCTAGAAGGAACACAGTTACTTAAATTAGTTCAATATACAAAATAATTGACAAATAAACAAAGATGGTGAACAAAATTACTATGTTATGCAAAATGCACTTCCCTACAGAATGCAAACTCCTGTAGGCAGGGTCCCTGCCTTCTTGGATGCCTGAAAATTGCTACTTCACACATATAGTGCTATACAAATAATAAGGAACTGCATTATTATTACTCAAGAAAACTGTACCACCTGCCAGCCTAGCTTATAAATGTAAGTATTATCTTAATAACATTGATATTTATAGCATTTCTTATCCAAGGATTTCAAAGGAAGTCGGCGTATATTAACTCTTCAGGCTGTAACTTCTTCAGTGCCAGAACGGAATGTGTCTTTTTACACGTCTAACACAATAAGGCATCAATCCGGATTGGTAATAATGAAAGGCAGAAAATAGGAGCATGAAAGGAAAAAAATACCGGTAGTCAGGACCGGATTATTTACAGGGCTTTAGGATCTACAGCCCAGGATCCCGGGCTAATGAAGACTACAACCGCTAAAGTCCCTGAATGCTGAGGCTTTACCTGGCAGAGGGTGAGGGGGGAAGTGGTATTGTCATTCCCTCTGCCTCCTCCTCCTCCCCCCAGCTGGAGCCGTGTGCATTGCCAATAGCCTTGCAGGCTCCACCCACACCTTGTCAATTGGCAGGAAATCATGGACAATGGGAGCAGTGGGGGTGAAGGTGCCTGCAAACACAGGGCCACACAGAGCCACCTGTTCCCCCTAGGAGCTTTGCCAGGTAGGCATCTCAATCCTTCTGCCCCCCTCCTGCACTCCCACCCTGCTCCTGCATCCTACCTCCCACGCAGGCTCCCTTCCCTCTCTTGCACCCTACCTCATGCCCAGACCTCATCCCCCCCACCCTCAGCCCATTCCCGAATCCAACCTCCCACCCAGAACCTTGCCTCCCCACTCTATGGTAGCTCCCTCCCACACACTGAACCCCTAATTTCTAGCTCTACCCCAGAGCCTAGGAGGCTCCACTAAATCTATTAGTCCCAGGCCCTCAGAAGAAGAGTTAATCCAGACCTAGTGGTGATGTGAGCAGTTCAGCTATTGAGCTTTCTAGAGAAAAATCTCTGTGAAAGCATCCCCTTTACAATGTTGGTGATTCCAATGCTCATTGCTGCAAACTGTGCCAGGTTAACTAAAAATAATCACAACGAGAGTGATCTGAGCAGGCTATTAAGTACATAAACCCCAAAGGAGCATCTGAAGGCATCAAGATGGACTAGGAGCATGCATCATTGTCAAAAACCGAACAGTGAGTGACAAAGTCATGACTGGAGTCCACTGTTCAATGGTTTAGACACTAACAGAGCTCTGAAGAAAAGCAAGACAGGTTTACAAAAGAAAACTAAAGGACTACAGTGAACAAGAGATAATGAAAAGAAGAGAGGGCCAAAAAGGACAAAATCTGATAATAAAGAATCTGGAGGCGAGAGAGAGATGAATAGGAACAAAAGAGGAAGAGAGACCAAAAGGACAAAAGAGAAGGTAGAGGGAAGAGGAAAAAAAGCAAAGGAGCAGGCAAGATAGACAAAACCAGGGAATGAAGATGGAGAAAAAGAGAGACATGGGTCAGAAAGAGAATACAGCAGATGCAGAGAGCACTTGTTAAGACGTTAGGATAGGCAGAAGAGGTGGTTGAAAAATATTTAGAGCTCTGGATTAAAAAGAGAGAGACCTACAGGCACAAAAGACAAAATGCTGGAGCTTCTGAGAACAAAAGTGTGAAACCAGAGAGAAGAGCCTGAAAACAAAGACAGAAGAGAACATATGAATAAATTCAAAGTTATAAAAGTCTCCCTTTGTCTAACATCAGCTCCTGGGGGCAGCTACAGGGTTAAGACTCCAAGGACCTTTATATTGACCCCTAGTAAGTTGTATGGAGGCTCTTGGAATACAAAGGTTCCTCTTGAGCACCTCAACCTTTCCCAGCCCATCCAAGGTGGCCTACCCATATTCTTTCACAGACCCCTCCTCCACCTCCTTTCCTGCAATAGAGTGGTTTCTCCTCCCCCTTTCTGTCCCTCTCCTGACTACCACAGCAGCTGTTCACTCAGCCCCACTCCAGAATTACCAGAACCTCTCAGTAGCCATCTCTCTTGCCAGCAGAATCATTCTGAACTTCAGCCTATGATGGGGCTGGGCCTGGCAGTGCCGGGAAGCAGCTAATAGCAAGAGTGTGGGGGTGGAGATTATGAAGTTGTTCCCAGAAGAGATGAGGTGGGGTCAGCTGAACTCAGGGCAGGGAGGCCTCTTGG